AAAATACATCTCAATTCGTCACCTACACATCTAAATTCGTCACATTTACATAAAATGTGACGAAATTCCATGTGACAAAAAGAATGTCATCATTATTGTTGGTATTTGAAAATGACACTTACGACTAATTCGTCATTATATAATAATTTATTATGACGATACATTATAATACATCAAAATTCGTCACATTAATACATATTATGACGAAATTCAATGTGCCGAAAAATATCGTTGTATTTTCTTTGTATTTAATATGACGCTTATGAAAAATTCGTCATTATATAATTTTGTTTTGTGACGATAAATTGTAATTCAACAAAATTCGTTGCCTTAATATAAAATCGTTGTTCTTTTTTCTATTTAATATGACGCGTACGGAAATTTCGTCATTGTATAATTTTGTTTTGTGACGATGAATTATAATTCATCTAAATTCGTCAATTAATATATATTATGACGAAATTCACTGCGACGAAGAAAATTTTTTGTCCTTTTTTTTTTATTAAAATGACGCTTACGAGTAATTTGTCATTATATACTTGTGTCTTGTAACGGTACATTACAATAAATCTAAATTCATCACACTAATAAATCAGCATGTTGTTCCTCGACTCATCATTTTTTATTAAGTTTTTTTTTTCGCAATTTTGAGTTTCAATTTTCAATAGGTTGAAATTTTAAGGAAAAAATGGAAATCGATTGTTGACCTATAATTCAAAGTTTATTTCTATGTGTGTTCTGTTATTGTCTCACTGTTTTATGTGTCAGTTTTAGTTGATTACAAATCGGCAAAAATCGATTGTTCACCAATGCTTGTATTTTTTAGGTACTTCTCTGTACAAGTCAAAAGTCGTATCTTGAATACATTTGTTGTTTAAGTGTGATTATTTTATAACAATTTTATCTTATGAAGAATGTAACGACTTTAACATATTTTTGTGTTTTCTTCATTTTCTATAAGACCATTTTAGTAATACTAACATACCATCCAATAACAACATCTTTCTCTAATTTAATTGTCCACAGGAGATTCAATAAACAACTTGGATATGAAGGAGGCAAACATCTCTTCTTTACCCTCACGATAAAATGGGCAGAGTAAATCAGTCTTTCGTATTAAAATCTCCGTATGGCCTAACACGTCACTCAAGGACCATCCTAATTTCGAAAGCCCATTAACTTGCGATACCTAGTTGATCTACATATATTCCTAACCCTGGTGAACGCGTCGTCTGTTATCTCTGCTCTGTTCATTGAAGATTCCGCGGCTTGCCGTTTGTAGACATATCTTGCCGTGCACAGAGTACTAATTCTATTCTAACAGTTACAGTACCAATACAAGATAACATGAACGATTTTTTCCGATTTAGAAAATGCAGCAATTACCACGAGAATATGAGAGGGTCGAGTCGGAGGCGTGGAGCAGGAGAAGCTTTTGTGTCGAACTTTGGAGTGCGACGGGCGTGAGTCGTGAGGACTGAGGACTGAGGACTGAGGAGAAGCGACGGGGTGACGGGAGTGAGGAATGAGGAGAGGAGAGGCAACGGGGCGTGAGCCGCGAGAAGAGAGGCGAGGGGCGAGGGTCGAGGGGAGACCGGCGACGGCCGACGGCCGACGGCGTCAGAGAGAGAAAGTGATGAGGCAGTTATGCGAGTAATGAACAAAAATAAACCCTAACCCTGTGTTTGGTTGGGAGGAATCAGAGGGGAGGGAAAGGGAGGGGAAGGAATATTTTTATTTTCCTCTGTTTGGTTTAACTTTTGGCAAGGAAGGGGAGTAGAATTTTCCCCTCCATTCTCCCACCCGAGGGAAAATCAGCTCCCCTCCAATTTTGGGGGGATTTGGAGGGGAAGTTAAGTCTTACACTTTTTTGTACTAATGTGCCCTTATCAATTTATTATAACTACTAAATTACCCAATATAAATAAAACATAAGTAAGGGTATATTTGTCCATGTAATTTTATTTTCCTTCCCCCTTCATCTTCTAACCAAACAAGGTTAATCATTTTCCTTCACCTCTCCCCTACAAAATCCCTCCAAACAAGGTAAAATTACATTCCCTCCCTTCCCCTCCCCTCCCCTCCCTTCCATTAAATCACCTCCCCTCCCCTTCCCTCCTTTGAACCAAACATAGCCTAAAGTGTGTATTCAATTGGGATTTTAATTGATATTTTAATATTTTTTAAAATTTCACACTTTTAAAGATTTTTAATATATATATCTACTACCTCCTATTTTTTAAATGTTATTTTGATTTTATCAACAATTAACTAAATAAATAGTATGTTGGATCTTTTGTACATAGTTTTTCATTATTATAATAGATAAACTACGTTTTTTCATATTCACTCTTCATATTTTCTCAAACATCCATCTCCGTCATCATTAATGAGGGTTATTAATGTAGCGCAGCGTAAACGAAAAAGGAACAAGAGATAAATCTTAAGATACGATAAAATTATTCATAAACATTCAATGTTTTCAAATGAAAGAGACGATATAAATAAAGTCCCAACTAATCATAATCCTTATCTTGTTCACCAAGTAAATAATAATACCTAGGAAAAGAGAATAAATCAAAATAATAAAATATCTAGGAAATAAATAACTAAACTAAAGATGGTAAACGATCATATTTTTCTATATATGCCATCGCGATCTCGTCTCCATCATCCTCCCCCGGTTGAGAAGGATTCGCCCTCGAATCCGGATCGATCTCGTCACCGTCCGAGTTATCACCAAGGTAAGGCACTAAATGCTTGACGTTAAAAATGTCGGAAGTCCGAATATGCGACGGTAAACGAAGACGGTAGGCAGAGAAGCACCGGGGACTAAATCGATATGATGTTGAATGTCCCGAAGCAGAGGAAGACCAGAAGGTAGCTCGGCAGGAAAGACATCAGAAAGTTCATCAAGCAAAGGTTGGATAACAGCCGGCGGGACCGTTGGGGTCAACATATCCGTACCTAAACGAAGCACGACACACGGTGCCTCCTGCAGTTCGCCAGCAAAGGCCGTGTGAGACCATAAAAGAACCTGTGGTGGCAGCGGCGGAGGCAAGGGACGAGGAGGTGAAGGATGAAGGACCAACCGAACTCCCTCAAACATGAAGCTGTATGTGTTGAGATGACCGTCGAAAGCCACCGCGCGATCGAATTGCCATGGACGACCTAATAAGAGATAACACGCGTCCATGGGCACCACATCACACCACACTGAGTCACGATACTTGGACCCGATGAAAAATTGGACCAACACCCGACAATCCACCGTGATGGCGTTACCTTGCTGTATCCACGCCAAAGTGTACGGCTGAGGGTGCGGTACCGTTGATAAATGAAGGCGTTCCACCGCATCCTGGGCAACCACATTTTCACAAGAACCAGAGTCAATAATAAAACGACAGACACGGCCACTTACCGTACACATCGATTCAAAAATATGGTGACGCTTTAAAGACTCCGTAGTGTCAAAAACTCGAGGTGCCAAACACGAGCGGCGAAGAACCAAAGCTAGGCCCTCGTCGCCACACAGATGCTCCTCTTCCGGGTCGGGCTCGACATCAAACTTTGGCGGTCCATCATAAGTAGCCTCTGCTGAGCCGTTGAAGTCATCTGTCAGTAGAGCCCGAGAGCCATTGCGGCGGGGACAGACAGACTGACGGTGACTGGTCTCACTGCACAAAAAACATCGAGGCCCACCACCGGCGCACGACCCCTCCATCCCAGCCGAAGCTGAGCCAATTCTGACCGCCGTGCTGGTCGATGCCCCAACCGTTGGAAAGCCGACCTTCCCAGTCGAGGTGCTGCGACTGCCCATGTTGCGATTTTAGGTTTTCCCAGCAGACGCCTCTCGTCCTCGAGGTGCTGCCACTAGGCGACTGCCCGGCCGCGAAGCTGTGTGCCGACAATCCCAACCCGATGGTCGTCTGGGACGTCCTTGTATTCCAAAACCGCCTCGACCGATGCAAGCCAATCCAGAAACTCTGCTGCGTCCAACCCACCCGAGAACTCATGGATCTCAACGCGAAACGCACTCTCCCAACGCCTTTCGCCGCGCGGGTCGTCGTCTGCACGTGGATCCGCTCGCCCAAACGGATTACCCTCCTACTCCGTAGCGTCCGAGTCGCCTCCCTTCTCCTCACACGGCGCATGCCGGCGGCCACCACAAAATCGCGCGTGACCGCGACCCCCATGGCCACCACGCTGCCCACCGCGACCGCCGTCCCAATCGTCGGGCCCGTCATGGTTCGCCTGCTCGCGTCGCATCAAAGTTTGGAGGGCCTCGCGAATATCCCTCCATACGCGCCGCTAAGTCTGACATATCACGGCCCATCGACTGGAATTGCCGCCCGAAACCCTCGCCTTGCCGCGTGAGGGCTTCAATCGCCGCATCTCGTCTGTCGTCAGCCGTATCGTTCCTTTTGGGCGGCATCGTGGATCGTAGCTAACCCTGGATACCGACTGATGTAGCGCAGCGTAAACGAAAGGGAACAAGAGATAAATTTCAAGATACGATAAAATTATTCATAAACATTCAATGTCTTCAAATGAAAGAGACGATATAAATAAAGTCCCAACTAGTCCTAATTCTTATCTTGCTAATCAAGTAAATAATAATACCTAGGAAAAGAAAATAAAACATAATAATAAAATATCTAGGAAATAAATAACTAAACTAAAGATGGTAAACGATCATATTTTTCCATATATGCCATCGCGATCTCGTCTCCATCAGTTATTATTGGCAAAAAAAAAATTCTTAATTACTATGCAACTTCTCAAAACGACACTAATTAAAAATAGGAGGGAGTATATAATAAGAATAATCATTTACTAAAAATAGTATCAAAAAATATGTCAAAATTTAATGCAGCCTATAAATAGTAAGTTTTATTATTTTTATTATTATTTTCTTTAAAAATCATACAACATTAAATGCTACCTTCAATTTTGGGTTTTAGTTATTTTATTATTTAAAATTCCGGCTATGATTTATTATATGTGTATGTTTTTATTTTTATTTTTTTTCTTAGAAACAACGAATAACATTAAAATATGGTTTTTATATTTATGAAATCTCAATTCAAAATATTATAAAAATTTTAGAATCTCGGTCTTTATATTTGTTCCTTTAAAATAATATTGAACGCTAAAATTATTCTTTGAATTGCACAATCAATAAATTAATTTTAATGTTTTGGAAAATTACTTTGTTTAATTTTTTATTAATATATATAAAGTTAAAATAATTAATTCATCTTTAGATATGTAATTTATAATCTTAATATACTCTCATTTGGTGTAGACATTTATTATATAAATCATAAAATATTTTTATTCAATAAAATTAAATATATTTAAAGAAAATAAGGAAATTTCTTTGGATCAATCTAGTGATTGAATTAGGGTTGATTGAATTACTTTTAGGTGATATTTAAAATAGTCAAAAAACTTGACACAACTTGGTTGGTCCCAGGTGATTAAGTTATGTATCAGTTTGAGACCAAATCGATTATTGAACCTAAATATAAATTTAAATATTGAAAATACTTTATTATGTGAATGTAATGTAGTCCAAACTTCAAATAATCGTATTAACAACAAAATATATGTATTCGGGGAGCGTCCCACTACCCCTCAGAGCTTTTTCATTTATAAATCGGTCACAAAGTATAATTTGGACTTATTCGACTCGGACTACTTTCTAGTCTAGCCAACACTATACCCGATCCTATCAATTACTTTCCTGGCCACGTCCCGTGGACTTTACTATAGCTAAGAATAGCTCCCAGCTACAAAAGTACTTAATCCCTAAGCACTAAAAAGTGTTTGTAAAAGAAAAAGAAACAAAACAAACTCAGTTCGTCAGCAATGTAAGAACGCTGAAGTGCTGTGACGAACAAAATAANNNTNNT